ATTTTTCTTTTTAACGTATGAGTCTCACACCTCAGCACTTTTCTTTCAACACTGACAACAATTAGACTCTTCAACTTCTCATCATTGGCTTTTGAGTTGCGCTGTCATTCATTTTCTGAATTATCGACAATTGCAGCTTTCTTGATTGACGATACACCAACGCGACTTCGACGCTCAGATCTCAGACCTATCTTTCGCTTTTGTTCAGCTGCTCAAAACATTGACGTACTCCAACCCGGACTTTTTGACATTCTGGGCGCACATCAGCAGTAGTGGCAACAGTATTGCGCCAACGCGGTCCGACATCACTACCACCATCCCTATGGCACCACAGCAACAGCAACCTGCAGCGACACCACTGCACCCTTCACCACACCACCACAACACCATCTGCACCCTGCCCACCCGAGCCACTTCCTCCCTCAGCCGCACCGGTGACCACCACTCCACCAATCAGCTCCGTACCACCCAACATTCCGAAGCTACTGAACACCTGGACCCAAAGTGACACTCATCTCGACACGAACACAGTGCGTGGCCAGACCCTGTTTCGGACCATCCAACCAACCGCATGGTCCCGGAAGTGTAATCTCGCCGGCCAACCACTCGACATTTTCCCGTGGCAATTGAGCAGGTTCGGATTACAAGACCTAAAGCCTCAGAACCTTATCACAAGGCCGATACACCGCTTCCCAACTCTTGACAGACATCCGAACCCACAACCTTGACGTCTACTCGACCGCCGAGTATCTGCACCAACAGTCGGGACAACCCGTCCCAAACAAGACAGCAGACGCTAAGACGTTCATGTCACCATTGATTGCCAAACTCACGGAGTTTCTGCAAACACTCACTCCCCCTGCAGGCAACGGCGCAGCATTGCGCCGCCTTCAACAGCAAACCGACAAACTACATCAGCAAGAGAGGAACTACAGCGTGCCTCCGACAAACTCCGCACTCACGGCATCGCTCTTACACCCACCAAGCCTTCCACTATCGCGCCCCCACCTGCCGCCGCAACACTACCACTCACGGCCCCCACCTCCACCCCACCCACCTCACTGACAATTTTCAATGCCACATCCCAAACACTTCATGACAACTACCCTGCCAATTTGCCCAGGCAGGCATCCAGAAGTGGTTCAAAACACTGCCACCCACAACACCAACCCAAGCCAGCAACATCCTCCAGATCCTTGGCGATGAACGCATCACAAAAGAGCAGCTTCAAGAAGCGGCAACGCGATACGGTTTGCCATCAGCTCGAGTTCTGAAACTCCCTCCCAAACCCCTCCAGCATTTGGTCGCTGCCGGCTCAGCCCTCCCGGCCTGACTCTGTTTGCAAACCCAACAACAACCTTCACACAAACACCTACAACTACTTTCCACCCTCCACACCACACTTTCACACTCAGTCCACTTCACTCCACAGATCGACAAAGTACAGGCCACCGTTGGCCTCATTCACCTTACCAGCCTCTTTGCGTTCCCATCCCCCACACACAACTGTCAAAAATGGCGACGCCGTCTGTCACAATTTCACATCACACCCACTATATACTTATATCACTACAACAACTTTTCTCAACCCAATTGGCTCCACCGGCATTTACATAGCCAAGAGGGAATACAACCGCCTCGCTTAACGCAGGCAACTACAAAACAATCACGCACTCACAAAAGACACTTCGCCACTATACAGCACTCTTTACCTTTCCCACCACGACACCTACGATCAAGCTTGGACACATGAGCATAGACACATCCAAGATTGGCAACCAACACTCACATCGCACTCACTCAATTCACTCGCACGGTTACCCATAAACGGCTTTGTCCAACGACTACGCCGTCGACACCGCGCCACTTCACAACCCAACCTCCACACTTCCCAACGCCTCCATGCACTTACCATTCTACATGGACTCAGCAAACACACCCATTCTTCTTTTGAAACAGCCAAAGCCATCCGCAGCGGCCGCTACACCCATCTCGAAATCTATGCCTTCAGACGAATGGCTGCCAGCCTCGAAGAACCCGATCGCTCCAGAGTTCTCCACCTGCTCAATTCAGCCCTCACATTTTGCAACCTCACCATTCCCAAGTCCAACGAACCTTTCACCATTCTGTTCCTTGCCCACACACTGAGCATTGGTCTCTGGTAAAATGCCATTTCCACCGCGTCATTCCCTTTCACCCACCTACCAGCCGCATACGCAATCCCAGCCCGCAGCACAAGACATGCCTTGCAGCTGCCAACATACGCACTCCTTACTCCATGACCCTGACAACACACCACCACGATGGCCACTGCGTGCTCACTCTCAGTGATTTGTCCTTACCGCCCCATCCACAGCTTTTCCTACGAGCCACCAGAACCCAATACTTCCACCGCTTCACCGCTACCATCACCCAGTGGCTACGACATCACGGACTTCCAACTGCACTTCGCCTTCACAGCCAAACCTTTTTACCTTTTTACACACCAATGGCACGACCACATTCACGCAACATCAGACTGCAACAGTTTCTCACTGACAAACTCCTACTACATCACGCGGACCACGAACTCCAGAACTTGCGCAGTTTCTGCCCCCAACATTACTTCCATGGATGCCTCACCACATGGAACACACCACAACTGTTCAAACCACTCCCACACCTCACCAATGAACAACTACAATCCCTTCTTACCAATTCCTTGTCACCACACCTGCGACGAGCCTATCCATGGGCTTTCCAAAACAATTCCATACACCACACGGAGTGGTCTTCCTCAAACAGAAGAAGTCATGGAGAAAGGGCCGTGCAGCGATTAGCTATTTTCGGTCCATCGCGGGCACTCTACTGCGAGCCACATCCAAAGCGCTGGACATCGTGCTTCTGAAGCTACTCCCTCAGCGCCCTGGCCAACTATCCATTCCCAACCTTTGGAAACACCTCCACACTCATTTCAGCAACACTCCACACGATTTAATTTCACCGCCATCAATGACGACCTTGTCGGCTTTTTCAACAGTGTTTGGTAGATGCAGTCATCAGCCTGCGCAACCGCTGGCACCTTCAACATACCACTACTACCCTCCACCAGCAACCCCATTCAACATTCTCACCTTGGCAGACACTACGTTCACCACCCACACAACTCACATCCCCCTGATCGTTCAACAAGCACTTCACTCATGCATTTTCCAAGCGTGCCACACTTACTTTCAGCAGATGCAAGGAGCAGGCATCGGCAGCCAACTTTCCCCTGCCATAATGCCTGGCTTGACATACCACACCTTCCTTCAGCAACCTTGCCTCCACCTCTTCAACGCACGATACGTCGACAACAGGTACATTTTGCTCAAGGACAACTTCATTCATTCACTACCCATTGCGACACTTGCTCATCCAGAACTTTACGGACACCCCGTTGAAATCGAGGCAGTAGAGGATGACCATCTCCTTGGCTTCTTCATCAATCCACAGACACGAAAAATTACATTTCAACTTCCCACTCATCCTTGGCAGATACGTGACAATCACTCAGCAGGGAGCCACAGACTAAGACTTTCTGGCCTCCAATCACGACATCACACTTTGCAACACTATACATATCCGCCAGAACTTGCCTCCACTTCAGCGCAAGCGCTCGTTCAACTCTACGCAACAAAAGGTCACTCGCCAGTCCACTGCGCTGCAGCTCCGCAGCCGAGTCGCCGGAAAAAAGATCTACAATGCTGCTGCCTATTGACAGTTCACTGTTGCACTTTGTCCTTCCAGCTGCGCCGATTTCGGCAAGTTGTGTGTGTGTGTGTGTCAAACCCCGTCTCCAGGGGCGCTACTTACCTGCAACCTATTACCTTTCCACTCCTCATGTACAGATCCACCGGAGGGGAACTGGGCACTCTGTGACTCACCCAGTTCAACGGAGCTAGGTCACAGAGTCGGACTGTTCATCCGAACGTACCTGCATCATTTTTAAACATGTTTTAAATGACTTGTTGATTTCAACCATATTGTCATGTTGTTGCAGGGCCATTTCACAGGTTGAGGCTTGAGCACTCTAGACTGGTATCGCAGTAATGAACCTTAAAGCGCTAATGCTCACTGCGCACCACTGAACCGCAGCTCCGCGGAGCACTCATCTTAAGTGAGGCTGTCGCGTGGTGCTCTCATGTGATATGTGTTGTCTCATATTGCATGTTCTCGTACAGTACTTGTGCTCTCATCTCCTATGCGCACCTTCACCCACGGGTGTGCTCTCATTTGTGAGCTCATTTCTGTGCTCTCCAAATTCCTGATCTCAAGAGATTCCGTGACAGGTGTGCTCTTGAGTGCGCTCATATGCGTGGTCTCATGTGCTCTCATATGTACGCCACCTTATGAGTTCCATCGTCAGCACCATCATTGCGTCACCATTATCAACCACAAGTCATCAACACCATCCTTCATAACCCTTCATCGTCATCGTCATGGTCAGCATGTTTGCGTTTGCGTTTGGGTTTGCGTACGGTTGGTCATATAGCTCCAGCCGATCCCTGCGCCGGTGGGCTTGCGGAGCACCTGTGTGTTCTTGCTGTGACCATCTGCCCGGTGGGTTTAAGGGAACCAATCTCAAGGTTTTGGAGAGGGTTGCTTCACTGAAGACCGAAGTGCTGCTGATGAGAAACTCAAGAAGGTCGCAGTATCCCTACTCAGGTGGACTAAGAAGTCGAACTCTGTTGCGTCCGTGCATTTCAAAACACAAACTTCGAAAGGCCTTGGATCGTTTTCCATCTAATTACTGCAGAGCAATGTGGAATGTCTCGGGCGAAATGTCCCACAATGCAGCCGACTTGCAGGAAGGCTTCAGGTTGCTGAGCCCCGGGATGTTTAAAGCCACAAGGTCAATCCCAACTTGAGCCAAAGTGCAGAAAGCAGTCTGGTGTTTGTGTTTCAGCATATGTCCAACTGCCAACCACTGCCATTCCTTCCCTTAAAATCAAGAACACCGCTCAAGTGAAGAAAGGCACCTGCAGCTGCAGCGAAATTGGAGCCCTGCCGCTAAAGCAGTTCCGCAAGAAGAATCATGAAGGCTAGCGCCCGCACTCCAAACAAACACTGGTGACATCGGCCGGCCTTGCAGCACATTCTTCGGGCTATTGAACGCTCAAACAACGACACGCTCTGGCAGCCCACGCTCTGGCGATCCACACCCTGCAACGTCATTTGCGGTGATGCGCGAAACCCATAGGCCAGTGCAAGTACAGTAGCTATACTTGAGGCCGAGGGTAGGTGACGAAAGCTTGCAGGGATGCATCCGCGTCAGTGGAGGCGAAGCATACAGCGCCGTCCAGTGACAAAGGACTGGTGGGACATCAAGCGGAGTGAGGCAAATCTTTTTTCATAGGCTAGGCACAAGGTCTCGCTCATGAGGTAAAATGTTGTGAACACGTAAGACACATGAACAGCAATGACACAGCCAACCTTAGCTTGTGAATCTGTTGAATCTGTTGCATCATATCCCAAAACCTCCACGGAGGAGTTGAACCGAAGTGGATGCCATAAGAGGTGTCCACAAGAGGTGTCCCAGAGGCGTCCCAGGGGGGAGTTGAACCCGCGGGTGGCCCTCTACATATGAAGTTTTCACGTGATGCGGCGATCTCGAGGATTCCAGCCCCTAAAGCAAGGACAACTCCAGCTAGCTGGCGCTAGCTTTCGTGATAATGTTTCTTGTTTGGTTGCAAAGCAATCAAGCTGCACTTCCTTTTCTAACTAGGACATTAGCTGCGGCGGGCATTTCAAGTTCACAATGCTGCTGAACCTGAAGGCAGTCTTGAATACGCGCTGACCCTGCTGATGCACGGGGGAGCGCGCTCAAGAAGTGTGCGGACTCAAGAGTATCACACAGGCTTCTGAATGGTTTCTATAGAAGGTTCGCGATGTTTTTTCATGCCCCAGGCGCAAGATTGGCCGATGGCCGCAAGTCCGACGTGGTATTGGGGAAAACTCAGGATCGATGGTGGACCGGGAAGCATGCGTTTTTCTGAAGCGATCTTCGGGCAGAGATTCTCCGCGAGATACTCCATACAGGAAGCGGCACTTAGCCGGCAAGCCCGCGTTCTTTGCAGGGGGGGTTCCAACCAGAACTTGATGGCGTTGATGACCTGTGGGGCAAGGCTCCAAAGGCCCATGTTGTAGATGTCTTTGTGGACCCGCAACCTTGTATTGGTGCCACTGCTGCAAACACACACTTATTGACACGCGCACTGAACTGAATGCCGCTCGCCACACGGCAACCTAAGTGACCATATTCCTAAGAGCGCAGGTACAACGAAGCCTGAAAAGTAAAAAGAGGAGGCCACCCAAGTTCCAAGGCTCAAGTCTCAAAGGCTCAAAGGCTCAAATCGCACGCGCGCAGACCTGAATCATCCTGCAGCCTGAGGACTCTGAGGACCTCTACGATTGGAGAGCGGCTAAAACATGCACGATCAGACTTGGTATCCCGTGATTGCGGTAGCTTCGTTGAGCGCGGTCCCACAATCACGCCGCACTCCCCTGCTGCTGGTAAGCGAATGTCAATAAGAAACAATCCATGAATCCATGAGGATCCCTACGGGGTACACACACACACTCTGACATTGGTTCTCAGTGACTCTGTTACCACGTTGAGAAGGAAGGTGGTGGAACGGCAAGGTGAATGAGTCCGGTGACTTGAATTGTTGAAAAAATGTTTCACTCGCGCGGCTAGCTGCAATGCACAAGCGGCTGAAGACTGCGGTGGGAAACCTGATGTTTGTGGGGAAGGTATCGTGCGAAACCACCATGAATCAAATCGAAAGTGGAAAAGCTTGAGCAACAGTTTCTGGTGCAGGTACGTCAGCAAGCGTCCTTGCTGATATCAGCACATCCTGAAGAGCCTCCTTGTTAGATGCCCTCTCTTCAGGTGTGGGGCATCCCCCTGCTGGTGAGTCGGTGGTGAAACACGTGGAAAGTGAATCGGTTGGAAGAAACCCTTTGTCCAGGGGTGGACACACACAGTTCGCCGGATTCGTGGCAGGCGTGGTGGCTGTGTCCTTTTTGGACATAGAGCCTCACTAGCTCGGCGGCAGCAGCTTCAGCGCTAGAGGGTGGAAATGTGTATTTTCGAATGGTGCGAAGTCTGGATTGGAGGCCTGACAGAGCCAAGCGCTGGCTCCCGGCGGTGGTGGGATCCCTGATTTTCCAGGGTTGGGAGGGTTGCATGTAGGTGATGGTGCGTTGGGGTAGGTCAATGTTGAAACCCAGGAGATGGAAGTCGTCCACAGGTTCGAGTTCCACTGGGTCGCCGAAAAAGTTGTGGTGGATGAGGGTTTGGATGGCAGGATGGTGGAGGAAATGTTCGTTGTGTACAATGAAGCGGTTGTCCACATATCGATAGTAGGTGAAATGTAGGTCAGTGTGTTGGAGTAAGTTGTTGTGGATCTGATGCCAGGAGTGTTCAATGAGTGTGATGGCTACATTGCATAGGGCTGGAGAGAGTTGGGAGCCAATCCCAGCTCCTCGGATTTGCTTGTAGGTGTTGTTGCAAGCCCGGAAAATGCAGGTGTTGAGTGCAAAGGCCACTATGGTGGTGATGTCGGATGTCTGGATGGTGCGTTGTGTAGGGTGTTTGCGACGGTGTCTGCCAATGTGAGAGTGGTGAAAGGGGTTGCCGGTGGCTTGGACATCCACGGTGAGTGTGTGTGTGTGTGGATTGCTGTTGTTGCCAGTGGTGGATAAGAGAGTGAACTGCATCAATGAGTCTGTGTTGTGGGACCGAGTTGAAGAAGCCGACCAGGTCATCATTGGTGGCGTACAGGGAGATGTCTGCTGGGGTTTGGGTGAGGTAGCTGTGGAAGTGGCGCCAGAGTTGTGGAATGGACATTTGTCCTGGATGCTGGGGGTAAAGGTGTTGAAGGATGATGTCAAGGGCACGGCTAGTGATGCGGAGTAGGTTGCCACTGAGTGACTGGAAGTATGAGATGATGGTGCGGCCTTTTTGCCAATGTTTTTTCTCCTTGAGGTGAACCACACCGTAGGGGATGTTGAAATCTTTGCGGAAGCCCCATTTGTTGCGGGTGCGTAAAATGGGGGGGACAGTGGCTGCAAGGTGGTCGTGGATATTGGCGGCTGTGATGTGGGGAAGTGGTTCGAAAAGTTCAGGGGATTGCCATGTATTCAAGGCGCCTGTGAAATACTGGCGGGGGCAGAACAGCCGGAGTTGTTGAAGCTCATGATCGGCATGATGAAGTACTGTGTTTTGGCCGAGGTATTCTTGGAGTTGTCGATGCAGGCGAGCCGTAAAACGGGGCTGTTGTTTGAGGTGCTTGCTGTGGAGGCGCCATTGATGTTCGAGGAATGGCTGCAAGTGTTGTACGAGGGATGGTGGTAGCCCTTGTAGTTTGAGCCATTTCGTGTAGGCCGTCTGGAAAGTGAGGAAGTAGCGGGCCTTGCTTGGATAGTAGGCGCTGTTCATGTTGGCGTTGAGAAAGATGCTGAGGTGTGTGGGGAGGTGAAGCTGATCCAGTGTGAGAATGTAGTGGCCATTGGTGGTGGGTGTGTCAGGATCCTGCAGTAGAGTTCGAAGGTGGTTGCATGCGCAGGGGAGGTCTGCTGGATCTGGAGGGAATGGAGGGTATCCTCCCATGTGCGGTGGTTGTGCAGTTGGGACCGCAGGGTTTTGTGTGCGGCCTCACGAAGGCGGTGCGAGGGGAGGTGGAGGGGGATGGTCAGGTGCTTGTGTTGCTGAATGGTGGTACGGAGCCACTGTTGGCAGTGCTTGGTGAAATCGTCGTGGGCCAGGAAGAGCACGGTCAGGGGGATGTTCGGTTTTGGTGGTGTGAGGTTGCGGTAGAGGAGGGCTTTGTTGATGATGTGGAGAGCTCTGCTGCGGCCGGGTTCTTCGAGATTGGCGGCCATGCGCCGGATGGCGTAGACTTCAAGGTCGGTGTGGCGGCCGCTTCGTAGTTCTTTGGCTGCTTCAAAGGAGGCTGCTGTGTGTTTGGTAAGGTTGCGGAGAAGGGTAAGGGCGTGATGCTTGGTGGAGGTGTAGAGGTGTGGTTCTCTAAGGGTGTGTTGGCGTTGTCGTAGTCGTCGAAAGAGACGTTTGTGGGTGGCCAATCTGGAGTAGAAATGGGCTCTGTGCTTGGTGAATTGCCAACCTTGGGCTTTGAGTTTGAGGTGATGGGAAATGAAGGGCCAGTTGAGTGTAGGCATCCAGTTGGCGATGTAGTGGTGTTCCTGGATCCAAGCTTGGTCATAGGTGTCGTGGGATGTAAGTTGGATGGTGGTGTAGTGGTGGATGTTGTCATGTGAATGCCAGTAACGTAGGGAAAGTTCTGCTGAAATTGGGATGTTGTTCTGGAGTTGTTTGAGTTTGGCACGGCGGTTATGTTCGCGGTGGGGGATGCCAATGGCGGTGGAGCCGACATAGAAGTGGCCATGTTGGTGGTAGCAACGTTGGGGTGGGTCAGGGTTGAAGTGGAGCTTGATGTAAACCGAATTGGAGGAGAGGAAGTTGTGGTAATGGTAGGTGTGGGGTAGGATGTTGAGCTGGCGAAAACGGTTGCGCCACTGTTGTGAGCGACGGGTGTTGGAAGGATATGCGAAAAGGAGTGTGATGTGGATAAGGCCAGTGGCAAAGATGGCTTCGGCACGGTCGATGTATTGGGTATGGTGGATCAAAGTGGAAAGTGCTCTGTGTAAGTGGAACAGGTGTTGGAGGGTGATGTGGCCGGTCGGTAGTGTTCTTGAGGGCCCGTAGAGCAGTGCCTTCTGCTGGTGCCGGAGAGTGGGATTGGAGTTGTTGGATGAGTAGGTTGATGAGGGGGGCGTGGAAAGCCCGAGCCTGGGTTGTTTTGCTGGGAATGTCTGTTCCTTGCTTTGTGTGGAGGGTCTCGGCGATGCCGTCCAAGTCGAGGCGTTTCTCGCGGAGCTCTTGGAGTAGATGGGTAACGAAAACAGACTCCGCAATGCTTCTGGTGGCAATAAAAGCCGTGAATTTTCCGTTGCTAAGAATGCGGGCTGTGAATTCGGCCGTACCATGGTACGCCAGTTGCCACGGGAAGATGTCAAAGGTGGGAAGCCCTGCCACCCCTGCTTTTCGAGACCATTGTGTGGGTTGGATTGCGCGGTAGAGCTGGTGGCCGTGGAGGGTGTTGGAATCCCAATGGTGGTCGGTTTGGTTCCAAGAATCG